CATAATCTAAGATCACCCACTTTGTAAACACAATACCTTCCCTCTGCGCGATCACTCGCTACGATTAGATCCATCATGATATTCTGCGCAACACCAAATCGTAGCGATTTCCAAAACATATGCTAAAACGTAACGTAAAACATTGGTTTTCTTCAGTATATTCTGATGAGATGATTAGAGTTTTTGTGGTTTATATAATACCACACATTTAACTCACTTTTCGAAATCGCACTTTAATGAATTCCCGTCCATGAATATTTTTCCACGTATTATTACAAAATGTTACAAAATACTTATTTCAACATGCTTCTTAATTATTTAATTTTTATTTAATTTGCGTTATCACTTCATCTCTATTCGATACTCATGCAGATAATCGTTTTCATGCGTCACTCAAAGTCTTCACTGTCCCTGGCGCATTTGTAGCGACTACCAGCATTCCAGTTCTCGACACTGCCGCTTCGTACCGTTGAATCTCTTCTTCACTTCTTGGCTCGATATTCAGATCGTGGATTAATCCCGCGCGTAGATTGTGTCGTCAAAAGTCCGACAGCCGGCTTGTCGGGGCGCTCGCAAAAAGGCGCCTTCGTATACGAAATTGCTTTCGTCTCGCGAAAGTCCCTCGCATAGAGCTAACTAATCCGTGCCAGTTTCTAAACGGTTGCCAATCATTTCCGGTTCTCGGATTAGTCGCACGTCGAAAAGTCAGCGAGCTCGCCCCGTAAGGGCGTGAAACGGCCTGGTCCCTATGGCAGGACCTTCCGGACCGACACGGAGATGACAACAATGTGAACCTGGGGACGAATGTTGGCTTCGTAAGCGGCTTACAAGCGACGCGCACACGCGTCCAAGAAATGATATTCCGCGATGAGAAAGATCGGTTTTTTTCACGCCTTTCTCAACCAGCTAGAATGGAGTGCATTGATGTGATATCAAAAACCGTATTAAAAGAAATGTATAGAAAAAGATAGAAACGAGAGGTACTTGTTACGCTCCGAACGCATGCATGGTTTATACTCGTGTGAATTTAACGCACGTTACAGTGACGTAATCATTATTATTCATAAATTATAGGTTTTATAAAAAATTCGAAATTTTTCAGCGTCTTAGATTTCTACTCTTTCTTATAATCTAATCTTCTATACTTTTTAAATTGTTTATTATATACGTTATTGTACACAATTGTTGTTAGCTTTTTTGTCAACTCCTTTTTTGCCTCGAAATGGTATACACAAGTAAACGCTTTGTGTTGCGATAAATCGCAAATGAATAGCCACGTTCAGCAGAACGTTTATTTTGCAACTGTTGAAAGTTTTCTGAGCCCAGATTGGATTATTCTTTTAGATCTAGAGAAATAATCCAATCTGAGCTCAGAAAACTTTCAACAGTTGCAAAATAAATGTTTTGCTGAACGTGGCGATTAAAAGAACAATCAGCAAAACATTGCTTCCGAAGATAGCGAAAAAACAATTTTGCCATGATATTCCGCGACATAACGATATAAAAACAGATCATCAAATGAAATTTAGCATATACTTTCTCGCATATGTTTTGTTTCGCGATTAGAACAGTATCTTAAATTGCGCTTCCCTGATAATTCCCCGTTCATCAACTTGACGCACGAAACGCGTGCAATTGTCGCGTAAGGACATAACCAGGACGATAATTAGGGGCTCGCGATTCTCTATCGAGAGGTAAACAGCTAACGATCAGCGGCGCGACGTATGATCGATACGTAAATCCGCCGGCAATTACGTCTAGCTGTTAGTCCGACGTTAATAATTTTCTAATCAACGCCGCGTGAAAGATCGATCGTATTTGTACCGTGACGAGCCCCGGCGTCGCTCGGTCCCGCCGTGTTGCGCGATGGCGGAATGTAATAATCGTGACGGGAAATTGGACTGGACGGACGCAGCTTTAACGGTGGTGAGAAAGGGGGCGGGAGGGAGGAAGAGCTGCCCCGTAAAAAATCGCCTGGGCCAATCTACGTGAAAGCGTGTAGCGCGGCAATTACATCGGCGTTACTCCTCCTAATTGTCCTTCATTAATAATTCTGCGACCGCGGCCCATTGGCGTACCACGGAAGGTGGATACCACTTACGCATTGGCGATTATGGTCGCGGCGCGAGATCGACCGCCGCGCCGTACCGTCTGATATAACGCCAATAACGAACGCGCGTCATTAGCTCAAAAAAGAAAAAAAGCACCTTGCGTTTTAATACACGGCTCCTAATGCTTCACGTCGTATTATTCGCGCACAGGCACCTTTTACAAGGTCTTTGTGACGGCTCGATATGACTCGGATAGACTATGGCTTCGTTTGTTATGAAAAGTTATGGCTTATAACTGCAACAAACAGCTTTACAGAAATTTTTATCTATTTATAAATGTAGCGGGCTTGTTGATACTTGCGTAATGCGTAGACATAGTAAAAATTGACCACGTAACTAAATTACTTTCTAATGGATTATGCTTTATACGATACATTATGACTTTCATTCATCGATATTCGTTGCAGAGCAAGCATTATTTGTCGATGATACGCGTTCTTCATGTCTGTAAATCTAGTTAAAGCTGAATACAATGTGCTAATGATATACTGGTAAATCAATAACTGGCCAATGGCTAGTTAGATAATACTATTTTATTATTATTTGAAGAATTATATTTTAAATATATACAAATCATTATTGTATAGAATTGCAAAAAGCATGTAGGCAAAAGAAATAAGTAATGAAAATTACTCAAAAACTTTCGTTGCCACTTGACAATATTCATGTCTCATTGTATGAACACGCGTCACAAAATATCGATTATAAAATATTTTATTTATCGCTTAGAGAATGCTATTTTAGTCCTATTATATATAGAATTTGTACGAACTCTTTTCGTTTTGCCTTTTGAAAATAAACTTAAATAATCTCGGGGGATGACGTTTTCTTCCAACTAACGTTCTTCGCGGTAAGTTATCGTATATTCAGTCCAAGGTACAATAAAAACACAAGAGCAATAGCGCAGTACGATCGCACGTACATGTCGCACGATTCGAGCCCGGCACGATCCGTTAGCAGTACTTATATCCCTTATCGCGGGTGCACTTTTCCCTATTCCCTCGTGTCACCGTAGCGAGGCAAGGACGACGATTATCGATTACCATGACGTGACTCTTGAGATTTCCAAACGCCGCGCCGCGCCGGGGCTGGTCATTGGTCTTGTCCGTGAAACACTTAAGGGGAGTTATAAATAGCGACGCGGTGCAAGGTGCGAGCCGTCGCGGCGAGTCAATGTCGTGGAAAAATTGGCGCCTTAATAGCCCGCTGATGTTTTCACAAGGAAGGAGCGCCGGATTTAGTGCCGCGCGGAAGCAGTATTAGTGTTACCCACCGTTGCCCGTCGCCGCCGCTTCTAATCACATCGCCGTCGTCCGCGTAATTGTCGCTAATGCGCTTCTTTGAGGAAATAAGCCGATTACGGAACAAACAGCCGGCTTAAGTCGTTGTAGCGAGCGGCGTCGTTCGAACGTCGCGTTTAAAAACAAGCAGCCTCAGGGGAGAAAAGGAGGACGATTCGTCGGGAGAAGAAGCTGCGAATTAACGGAAATTGTGCCGATACGCTCGGCACAGGTCACCTTAATAGCACCTCCGACGAGTTCCGAGAGAAAATGCCGCCGCGATTTCTGCCTTGCGATCGCCTTGCGGTTTCGTAGCGACGCACACACACGTTTATTAGAATAGAAATCGAGTAGCGAGTAACACTTTTCAAACAAGTATTATATTTACATTTATATTTGCAGCTTTACGCGTGTCAGAGTTAATAATTTGCACGCGTAGCCCGCGGGTCTTGTGATAATTAGCGTGAAAGTTTCACTGTAATTAAAAAACGATTCTCTAACGTTCCACTTGCATCCCCGTTGTGCGTGCGCGAACGTGAGCTCTTGCGTAATACTGGTGGCTCGAATTTCTTACGAAATTCGGCGTCGTCCGATCAAAGAAGTTACGACAACTTAGCACTTGTTTAGCCCGAGGGATTGAACTCCGGAGGACAGTGGGGTACAGGTAGAGAAGATGAATGAAACAAATGAGGGTAACATAATTAAAGCTTTCATATGCCGAGCTCCAATTTAGAACCATTAGAATTCCTAAACGTTGTCGGTCGGATGGGTACAGCAACCCGCAGAGAGAGAGACAGAGAGAGACAGAGAAACGTTTATCTTAGCAGAGATATATCTGATTCTCGAAAGAGGCGTTCTCTATGCGCGCAACCAGCGACGGCCGACGTGATCTCACCGATTGGAACATCCGGTCGAGAAGGACCGTGTCCCGTGAGTGTCCTTGACATCTCCGTGAAAGTCCACGGTAAACGATCAGGTGAATAAACGAAATCACAATACTCGCACGTTTCGTAATGAACGTATATAACTGCGGGCTATCGGCCGACTACCTTTCAGTCAAGTGGAAGTTTTGGCTATCGATAAATGGGAAAAAAACATGATGTTTTTATTTCTTTATCTCTCTCTCCATTATATGTTTCAAGAACCACTTAGTTATGCAGAAATAAATTATCTATATACTTCTATATAGACATGTAATATAGGAAAATGGAGCGAAATGAGATATCACGTTTTCGTGAGAAACAAAAGAGACTCGATAAACTGGCAATAAAGCTAAATACTTATTGCCTAATAGAATTTTAAAGCAATTACTGGGCATATTTCAAATTTTGTCGCTTGAATTGATGGAGGTTTGGAGATTGATGGACAAATTTCTATATGACCGGTCTATATTCAACTTTATCCTATTTTTTCTACAGTATATCTTTCAAAAATCTAACTAACCCATTTCAATGACTATGTCATGTGAACATATCTCTCCCTTTCGCTTTAGAAAGACTGAAAATATTCCTAAAAGTCATATATCTCGATATCGCCCCGGCTTCATCACGTCGTTACACCAAGCGACGAGCACATCAGTTTCGAAAGCGTGTAATAAAGTATCATTTACCATTGGACGTAACGGAAGCGCCGTCGTGGTGGCTGGCGTCGCTGTCCTCGTCTAGATTACTGTTGCTCAAGGACGTTCTAGACTGATGCCTGACACTGAGGTCTCGCGGCGTCGAGGGTGGACTTCCGGGTGGCTCCTGGCTAGGCAGCCCGGATTGGTGCATCTTGCTGGACGCACCGCCCAGGATATCGGTGATCATGAACCTCGACCTCTGCGGCATCGTCGTCGAGGCATCGCCTCTTTCCAGGCCGTTGTTATTGTTCAAATTGTTGTTCCGCGAGTCCAGCCCGTTGGAGAGACGTTCCACTGCTACGCCGTTCCGATCGACGATGTTCTCCAACCGATGCGCCTCCAGGCCCGACATCCTGCTCAGATTCAGACCGTTATTGGCCACGGCGACGCCACTGAGAGCGGCCACGTGGTGGTTCTGTTGATGATGGACCGTCATCACGGTAGACGCAGGTGGTTCCTTCGGGCTACGGGCACCTGCAGGTGCCTCTGTCGCCACCCCAGGACTCGCCCGGTACCTGGGAGACAGAATCTTGCCGACAATGACGACGTAGCCTAACCCAGGAAGAGATCGTGCCCTCTCACTTTATTTCAACTTCACACTTCACTGTATCCTCGATAGACCCAATTTCTGGATCACTCCTTTTCCCCTCTTGCGCGTACGGTTGGCGCGTTATCCGGCATCATTTGACGCTCAATGTTAAATCTGTGATCGAAGGATGGATTTTCCGACGAGAGGGTCAAGAAATCACTTTCGCGACGAACATTAGACTTGAGAACATGAATACCTCGATGAAGCTTGACCTTAAATATTTAGAGATTTGTGCCTCGCGCTATCGCGTCGGGATCTTCAAAGCGCCAAAAGCCCGAGAGCGATTTGGAAAATCGACCGAGGCGAAAATCTTTCAGCAAAATCTGGAGTAAATAGCGCGTGAGACAGATATTTGCGTCGCGATGCGTGTGCACCTTGCACTTCCTCCCGCTCAACTCGGTCGCTCCACCTCCGCTCCACCACCTTCTTCCCAGGCGCAATTAAGGGGCCGCTCGGCTCGGCTCCCTGGTTAATTGCTAATTGGCCACTTAACATAATTGCCGCGCATAAGAGCGGAGCCGTCGGCCATTTCCGCTTTTCTTTTTCTCCTTTTCCTTGCTCGTTCAATTATTAATTATTTTTATATAAGACTCTCGTGGCACGTTCTCCTCTCACTTTTGCGCGATTACGTGCTCGGCGTGTACCTCGCCTACGAAGGTAGGAACAAGTTCGAGACCTCCTATCGCCAACAAATCGTTTAACCATGAAATAGACGCGATATCTAAAGACAAATTTCTATAAGATATTAGCACACCCTTCACACTAGCCTTCCAGATCACAATTGTGTCTGATGAATGACCACGAGCGATCACTTCTATCAAAGTCCGATTAGTCCAGCAACCGTCACACGATTGGTCCTATCTCGATCACGTCCGTTTCGAAAGTCTATGTTTAGCCGGCTTATCGTGGTCGCCTGTCACGCGTGCCAGGATTGATCACTCTCACGGCAAGACTTTCGTTAACGATTATCGACTTGAAATCGGTAATATACCGTTACAGTCTATTAACACTGTTCTTCTTCGGATCGCACTGTCACCTGACACGTCGTTCACGTTTCGCCGCGTTGTTATACCATCAAGATCACTTTGACAGGACCGAACCAAATTTTGACAAATGTCTGAAGATTGAATATCCGTCACGGTGAAAATTCATCGATTGGTAGCGCCTTTCGATTCGCGGATCAGACGATCGCGAACGTACGATTCCGGGATAGAAGTCGATCTGATGCGGAGTCCTTATCCTCGCCGGACGAAGAATCGCTCCGATCGACCTGCCCAGAACTAAGAACGTAGTCGTGCACGCGAAACGTGCGTGTGCATCGAGTTGCCACGACTGGTCTGACTGTACTGAGGACGGCAGGCACCTCTGCTCGTTCCTGGGCGGCCATATCGGGATTCTGACACGCCTCCTGTTCTCCCTACCACCGTTACATTCGTGCCAATCCCCGTTCGTCGCCGTTAAGCATCCCGCCAATCCCGACCGAAGCAACCTCGGCGCCTCCGCTATGTGCCACGGCTACGCCCAAGTAATTTGAAATGTGTTTCAGCGGTAATTCGATATAAAATTGTAGTTAATATCTTTCATTATAGTCCGGACGGGGGGAAGGGGGCGCCCAAGCTCCTCGCGCGGAAGACGACGGTGGTGGGAGGCATGGGAGCAGTGGCAGGGTACTGCACGGGGAAAGGGGAGGGTGGGAACGTAGCAGGGTGGAGCGGGCGGTGATACTGGCCTCCCACTTCCAGCTCGCTCTCCTCGAGATGGAACAGCGAAGCGGATCGTCGAGAGAACGGCGGGAGAGGGAGAAAGAGAGGGTCCAGCGAGACCTGGCTGGAAGGGGTGAAGTGCCATCGAAACGGAGAAGGGTGGTCCCCAGCTCCGCGAACTTACTTCGCGAATTTACGAATTCACGAGGACGAGCGGGTGAGCGAACGAGCGAACGAGCGAACTCGGGAGTCTGGATGAGCGAGCGCGGCGTTTTTTGCTACGTGAACTTTTTTTGCGTTCCCCTGTCGTCGATGCTCAAGAAAAGGCTCGTTAAGCATATCAAAGAAGCACGTTGATTAACCTGGACTACCTGGACTGTATTACCGATGTCGTCGCAGAGTGATGTTGAGCGTTAAATTGTGCAATAACAGAGCCAATTAGAATAATGATGTTGGTACATATGCCTAAATCGGGAATCAAATAGTAAGTTATAATCTAGTAAGATGACTGTTCCTGTAATGGAGATATCGCGAATCTTTATAAGAGTGATGATTCATATACATCTCATCACAGTTAATAGCATGATGAGTGGATTTTTAAATTTTCCATAAAAAAGAGATGTCAGGTTAAAAGCGGATATGCTGCAGTTGTTGGAAGAGAGCCATCTCTTTGTTCGCGGTCTTATTCGCGTGGTAAAGGAATAATAAAAATTAATTTGTAGAAGAAAGTAAAGTGTCATTATTTTTGTATAAATGATTATTCTAGTTTAAGATTATTGTTTTCCATTTTTTTTCAAGTATTCTAATTAAAAACTATATAACGAACTAAAAATAGCAACCATCTGCTTTACGACGATTTCTGATTCGTTTAAATATTGAAGAAAGGCTACTTTGGGAATATATTTAAAAATTCATGAAATACTCTCTAAAAATATGAAATGTTTGTAAATGCCTAAGCAATGCCTATATAGCACACAAATGCAATTCGTGGTGGTATACGAGTGGTATATTGGAACAATTATTCTGACATTAGCAGAATCGAAACGGAATTAGATACGGTGGAGTTGACAGGAATGATAGAAGTATAGAATTTAGGGGTTGTGACATCATTTAATTAGAGTACTTATAACATCTTACATCATTTAATTAGAGAGCTATGCTTATATGAATTGCATCTATATAGACGGTCCCATATGATGCACCATATAATTATGCTAGTAGAAAATAACCACTCTTTTATAGTATTAATTAAGTATAGCATGATATTTTGTATATTGTATGATATGATATTTGATTGTAATATAGCATAGCTATATATATAATATGCAAGATGTATATAACAAAAATTCGTGAATTTATAATTATGCAAATTTATAACAAGCTTTTTGTCTTTTTAATTTTATCACATATCTATTACACATACACACACACACACAATCATATGTATATATACTTATATAGTTTAAATTTATTAGTATTTCCGTTCTTGTTATCGTTTATTGATGCTCGATCTTAACAATTTTACATCATAAATAAAAAGTCCGTAGAATCGGTTTGCGGGACAGCTGATTTCTGTGAAAGAAATTAACGGAGCCTGTAATGTGATCGTCAAAGCGTGACTCGACACGAAAGCTGGTGACTCGTAAGAAAATGCGCGCGGCTAATTTTTTCACCTTTTATTTTACACGGCACACGCAACTTTACACGCGTTGCCCCCTTCGCGGATACGGCGAACAAGCGTGTTCGTGTTGCACGGGCTGTGTCTGAGAGGTGATGCGTTCGTACATATACACGTCTCATTAATTAAACATGAGAATTTAGCCACGAGTGTCGCACCCGCAGGGCAATGAAATGAAAAGTTAACGTCGTTAAAGGACATACTTATTGCTCCGTAACTGGCTTACTGAAATCTCCGTGGAAAGCTGCGCGGATGCACAGCTTGAATGTGTTTAGAAAAACTCAACGCTACTTACTGGAAAAAAAGATGTTTAAAAATTGATATATCTATCACGTCTAAGTATTCTCGACGTGAGCTTATGAACGCGTAGCATAAAATAAGGTCGATTTATGATAATATTATGACGATCTTGATTAAAAGAATCAACGTAAATATCAGCGTGTCGGATGCGCGCAATTCTGAATTATGTACATGTCGAAACACATTATCTCTTGCAATTCAGATTTGTTACGTTCATGTTTATTCTTTTGAAAGACACATAGCATAAAATCTTCCTTATACTATTAAGTGCAACTTGAAGCATAGACGCATTTCACCGAATATTGTTATAAATAATCTCTTTTATTTATTTAATGTCACCGGCCAGTATCTTATTTTTTTATATTATGAAATTTACTGATAAAATGTTTTTAATTATCCATATAAAATATCTAAAATAGAGGACAATAATTATGCGACAAGATAATTTACACGGAATAATATACCGTTTAATGGAAATAAGAATTTAATGTCGTTAAAAGTGCTCCGGTCTTAGTATAGGTGTCGGAAATCTCGAGGAAAATTTCCTCGAGGCCCTTTGGCACTTTTTAACACGGAAAGCAGCCTGAAGACATTAATATGGATATAATATGGATATCGCACTAATACGGACAAGTAATATCCACGTGTAGGTCATTAAATTTACATGAGGATGTGACTTGAGTCTTGCGACTCGGTCAGGGACACGAAGTGAAAAGTTAAGAGCGTGAAAACTGCTCCTATCAACGTGCCAATTAAGTCTCATAAATCCGAGACCCTCCGGCTGGTCCGTAATGACATTTTTCAGTCACTTTGAAACAATGTATAAACTTAAGCTCAACATATTTAGGGAGAATTTTCCGCCATCTGAACCATCTTATCTCTCTCTGCTCCCTTTCCCCTGTCCAAGCTTTATAAATTTTATGGGGATAAACTATACTTTTTTAATAAAAAATAATATTACCAATTAATTCTACAATTATTTTATTATTTATACATGTTTTAAAAATGGAAATTTATATAATTTTTTTTAAATAATAACTAGTTTTCCAAATACCAGCAAAATAGCTTTTCTAGTAATGTAATTAAACTTTATTTGAGATTAAGGAATTATTACAAACAATTTGTATACAGTCGATTTTTTTATACAAGATATAAAAAGCACGACGCGCGTTATACTCATATATCTCGTCATTATACAAAATGTTCGCGAAATATTTTTCATGTCAGTTAAGTAATCGGAGACCCAACATATGTTACATAAAACGGAGATCGACAAAGAGAACGCGAATAAATTTGTTTATCGGCTATCTTTAGCCGACCAGTCCTTACGTTCGCTTCGATGAATTAGAGTCGCTAAATGCAACGAGACAGTGCAACATCGATGCTCAACTTACTTTACAATTCGTTTTTAGCAGCTGCCGTTATAGAAGCAGACATTCGTGCGATCGAAGCCCGAGGCGAATATGCACGATAAAGGTTCTGAAATTAACGATCCTTTAAAACGCTCGTAAAATTCACCCAGATAAGAATCCACCTTCCACTTGCTCCGGCATCTCCACGCCGCGCCGCGGCGTATCGTCCACTACGCACGACACACACTTGCGACACACAAATTACTCCCACACGCAGCCGCGAAATAACGCAACCTACTTTCGTTGATCAATCAGCGAACAAGACGCGCGTTATTTTTCTTTTTCATATTGTATCTTCGTCGTTTATTGAGTGAATGCTAGGTACGATTAAATTAATGAAGATTATGTAGATCTAAAAATGAAAGTAAATTTTAGATATGAGCAACAAAGAAATATAAAATCCTATATATCGAACAACAATAGTCATAAAAGAGCTTTATTTTTGGCGTCTAAAATACTTTTTGTTTTTATAAATATGGATTTGATCCTCTCGTATTTTTTAATATTATTTGTAAACTGTCTGAAAACGATATCTCGAATAACAATCGTTGAACAATCGTTTTTATTCAAATAAACAAGAGTTAAACAATTAATGAATTTCGTATGCTATATCAGCTATCATCTTTTCTTACAAGATCTATACAACCCTGTCGTTAGTATGCACTCTGTAAGAATTCTGGAATTATATTACATCTCAGAGACCGAATTTAAAGTGAATAAATGTGACGTACATCGAGCTTCTTACGCGCGTAACGGCGCGCCGGCAACACCATTGAATCGCGCGTGCACACAACGAATACTTACTATACGAGAGAGCGTATCGTCGGCGGTCGTGTGTACCGGCAAAGTGAGCGTGGGCAAACACGTCAACGGGGCGCGCTCGCGCGCGTACGCGCCCGGCACACGCACGCGGTAGACCTCATACCGTGTCCAATGCATATTCATACGGCCATACATTATACCGCGCGGTGCACGGCTCGGGGGCCGTGGCTGATCTTAGATTAAGGTAAACGCCGGTTAAGTTAACGGCTAAACTTCCATAAGTCGGGAGCCGCTCGCATGCGCGTCGCGTCGCGAAAGCCCGAGGTCGTCTTTCTCCGCGAACGCGATCGCTTCTCGTTTTTCTTCGTCGCGTCATCCTCCTGTCGACTATTTTCTCAGCGATAAAGACATACGCGATCCTCTGTGACATGTCGAAGATATATTTTATTCTTCATCGGGGAAAACCA